TTATCTCTGAAGCAGACGACTTCTCAAAAATTGTAGACCAGTGTTACTTGTCCTACCTCCAGTGAACATGGAAAGCAACTGATCACCATCCTCTTTATAACAACCCTTTACATATTTGTAGAGTTCTCAGGTCCTCCCTTCCCCACCCATCTTCTTCTCTAGATTGCACAACATTTCTCTTGCTTTCCAAACGTTTGTTGTTGTTGTTGCTGCTCTAATCTGGACTATCTCCAATTTGTTCACATCTTTCTTACAGTGTAGTACTCCAAACTGGACACAGTACTGCAGCTGAGGCCTCCACAGTGCTGATACAATGCCTTATATGTAATCTACTGGTATATTTTATAGACGACTTGAAAATAAGTCATTATTTTCCTGCAACATTTGAAATGTAAGGCAAACCCATTATACTCATACACTGGGTCATTACACACATTGAATCTATTTCCCCATGTTAAGTATCCTCACACCTTGTCAACTGTCTGGAATGGGCCATCTTGATTATCACTACAAAAGTTTTTTTTCTTCCTGCTGATAATAGCTCATCTTAATTAATTAGCCTCTTCGAGTTGGTAGGGCAACTCCCACCTTTTCATGTTCTCTGTATGTATATATATCTTCTTACTATATATTCCATTCTATGCATCCGATGAAGTGGGCTGTAGCCCACGAAAGCTTATGCTTAAATAAATTTGCTAGTCTCTAAGGTGCCACAAGTACTCCTGTTCTTTTTTCTAAAATTTACTAAAATTGACACCCGACTTTTTAGTCTAGTTTATATATTTCTAAGGCATCTGTCACCTTGGTACCTTTTTTGGGGGGGGGGGTGCATTTATTTAGATGTGCAAAAAAAAGTGACAGAGCAGAAATCATTTCTTCATACTTGTTCAATTCAAAAAGTGTTAGTGAACAACCTGCAAACGATAACAACTGCACCTGGGTGTGTCTGGGACTGACACATGAATAAACTAGAAAAGCAAAATCAGTGCTAAGAAACGGCTGATGGGACTTCTCTTACACAAAGGTTTGTGACTTTTGGAGGCATGAGGATTGGTGATGGGGGGGGGGGGGGGGCTATGATTTTGTTTTGTTTTTTAAGAACAGTACAACTGAATTTTGGGGATCCCAAAGAGTGGACATGAAAAAAATATACCAGAAACGTACTAACCAGATGCCAGAAGAAAAGATTGGGGGAGAGTAGTCAACTGCAAGAGGAGGTGGAGGGCAAAGGAGAAGTGATAAGGAGCTCTACCCCCACCCACTGGAATCTGGCTGCGGTCCCTGACTCCTATTTGAGAGCACTAACTCTCTTATCAGCCTCTGCCTCTGCCTTGTAGCTATGATAAATCTGGGATCTTTGTCCACCATTAGCTGAAAGGAGCTTTCTCTCTCTTCCCCAGCCCAAACCTGATCCCTGTTGGCTGCTAGAGGAGGGGATGTCCTCTCTAGCCCGTCCATTGATCTATTTACTGCAAAGGTGGGGAGGGGGCTCTTCCAGCCTCCTGATGCTTTTGGGTCCTCCCGCATGGGTAGTTCCAGCGTGGAAATGTAAATGAAGCTTGTCCCTTGCTCTGCCACCTACAGCGTTCTCAACTGCTGCTGTGAAACTGAGCAGCCTAATTAAAAAAGTATGGACTGGATGAATGGACTATAAGGTGGATAAAAAGCTGACTAGATCGTTGGGCTCAATGGGTAGTGATCAATGGCTCCATGTCTAGTTGGCAGCCAGTTTCAAGCGGAGTGCCCCAGAGATCGGTCCTGGGGCCGGTTTTGTTCAATATCTTCATTAATGATCTGGAGGATGGGATGGATTGCACCCTCAGCAAATCTGCAGATGACACTAAGCTGTGGGGAGAGGTAGATAGGCTGGAGGGTAGGGATAGGGTCCAGAGTGACCTAGACAAATTGGAGGATTGGGCCAAAATAAATCTAATGAGGTTCAACAAGGACAAGTGCAGAGTCCTGCACTTAGGACGGAAGAATCCCATGCACCGCTACAGACTGGGGACCGACTGGCTAAGCAGCAGTTCTGCAGAAAAGGACCTAGGGGTTACAGTGGACGAGAAGCTGGATATGAGTCAGCAGTGTGCCCTTGTTGCCAAGAAGGCTAATGGCATATTGGGCTGTATTAGTAGGGGCACTGCCAGCATAATGTCTCGAGGGCAGATCGAGGGAAGTGATTATTCCGCTCTATTCGGCACTGGTGAGGCCACATCTGGAATATTGCGTCCAGTTTTGGTCACCCCACTACAGAAAGGATGTGGACAAATTGGAGAGAGTCCAGCAGAGGACAACAAAAATGATTAGGGGGCTGGGGCACATGACTTACGAGGAGAGGCTGAGGGAACTGGGCTTATTTAAACTGCAGAAGAGAAGAGTGAGAGGGGATTTGATAGCCGCCTTCAACTACCTGAAGGGGGGTTCCAAAGAGGATGGAGCTCGGCTGTTCTCAGTGGTGGCAGATGACAGAACAAGAAGCAATGGTCTCAAGTTGCAGTGGGGGAGGTCTAGATTGTATATTCGAAAAAACTATTTTTTTTTCTGGGTAAGGAATGGTGTCCCTAGCCTCTGTTTGTCAGAGGGTGGTGATGGATGGCAGGAGAGAGATCACTTGATCATTCCTGTTAGGTTCAGTCCCTCTGGGACACCTGGCAATGGCCACTGTCAGTAGATAGGATACTGGGATGGATGGACCTTTGGTCTGACCCAGTACAACCATTCTTATGTTCTTATTATTAGGAGGGTGGTGAAGCACTGGAATGGGTTACCTAGGAAGGTGGTGGAACCGCCATCCTTAGAGGTTTTTAAGACCCAGCTTGACAAAGCCCTGGCTGGGATGATTTAGTTGGGGTTGGTCCTCCCTTGAGCAGGGGGTTGGACTAGATGACCTCCTGAGGTCTCTTCCAACCTTAATCTTCTATGATTCTAGGAATTTCACATAGCTACTCCTTGGCAAAGCTATGCACAGCAGGGGAGGCACAGGATCTGTCTTTCTGCAGACTCCGGGAGACATCAGTGCCTCAATTCATATTCCGGAGTTTCTCTCTCCGACCACAAGGGCCAAAACTTCCTTTGCCTTCCAAACCTGGGAAAGGTGGAGTTCTACAGAAACCCACAGGTTGGCCCCCTGGGCCTTCCACCGCCCCCTCTTAACGTGCTGGTAGGGAACTTTCCTCCCCCGGGGTGAGTGGCTTTCTCCAGCCCGTCGGAACGATGCTGTGCGCGCTTCAAAACGAGAGCGAACCATTTCCACACCGCACAGGCTAGAGCAGGGACCTGGGGGAAGAGGAAGCTGAAGTCACAGGCGAGCGAAAATGCCTCGTGTCAAGAGATCGAAACCTTCCGCGGAGGTGGCAGGCGGCCGAGCAAGCCGTGCCTGCAGGCTGATTGGATGGGCGGTCCAGCCCCGTTACTCCGAGCCGCCCGGGAGACATCCCAGACAACTGGAGAAACAGGGATAACGGGGGAAGCGAAGGCGGGGAGGCTGCATCGAGCCATGGGAGGGAGGGCTGGTTAAGCCTCCCATGGACCTCCCGGAGTTTTCCCTGGGATTTCCCGCGGGACCTCGCCCTGAGTCCGAAGGCGGCTGTCGCTGGAGCGGGCCACGCGTGGTTCCCGTCGCTCCAGTGAGCCGAGGAGACCGAGGAACCGGGGCAGAGCGGCGGCCAGAGACGGAGCCCCGTTGTTCGCCCGCAGCCGGGCGCAGCAGCGGGTCTGAGCCCCAGCGCCCGGGACGCCGCTGCTCTGCCGGGGGGCCCGCTCAGGCGCCTGGCCGCCGCCCGGGGGCCCCTCCTAGGCTGCACCTGGCCGCCCCATCGCTGCGTTTCCCGGACACCGTCCCGCACCGGCGGGAAGCCCCCGCTCCCCAGCCCCCCGGCACCTCCCTCCCCGCCCGCGGGGCTGGGCTTTCCCCTCCCCGTCCCGCGCCGGCTGAGCTCCCGGACCCTCCTCCCCGGGGGCCAGCGCCCCGGCCGGCTGGGCTCTGCCCCGTCCCGCCGCGGAGCCGGGCTCTTCTCTCGCTCCCGATGGACGCCGGCGCCGACTACCGCTGCCGGAACAGCCGCGCCCTCGAGGGCGGCGAGTCGGCGCTGCCGGGCTCGCTGCTCTTCGGCGCCGGGCTGCTGGGGAACCTGCTCGCCCTCTTCCTGCTGGGCCAGCAGCGGCTGCGGCGCGGGCGGCCCCCGCCCGCCTCCGCCTTCTACCTGCTGGTGAGCGGGCTGGCGGTGACCGACCTGCTGGGCAAGTGCCTGCTCAGCCCCATGGTGCTGGTGGCCTACGCCCGCAACCGGAGCCTGAGCGAGCTGTGGCCGGGCGGCGGGGAGCCGGGCCCCCTGTGCCAGCTCTTCGCCTTCCTCATGGCCTTCTTCGGGCTGGCGCCCACGCTGCTGCTGCTGGCCATGGCCCTGGAGTGCTGGCTCTCGCTGGGCCACCCCTACTTCTACCAGCGCCACCTGCGGCGCCGCCGCCGGGCCGCCGCCCTGCTGGCCCCGGCCGCCGCCGCCGCCCTGGGCGCCCTCTTCTGCGCCCTGCCGCGGCTGGGCTTCGGCGCCACCGTGCAGTACTGCCCGGGCACCTGGTGCTTCATCCGCATGGCCGGCGGCAGCGCCCCCGCGCGGGGCTACTCCGTGCTCTACGCCAGCCTGCTGGGCGCGCTGGGGCTGGCCATCGGGCTCTGCAACCTGGCCAGCATGCGCAGCCTCTACCGCATGGCCCGCCGCTCCCACCGCCGCAGCGTCCCCACCGCCGGCGCAGCGACCGGCCGGGCCCCCGCCGCCCCGCGCATGGAGGAGCTGGATCATCTCGTCCTGCTGGCCCTCATGACCGTCCTCTTCACCGTCTGCTCCGTGCCCCTCATCGTGAGTACCGGCCCCGGGAGCTGGGGAGAGAGAGCTGGGCGGCACGGGGTGGGGGGCAATTATTGGGTAAGGCCCCGATCCTGTCGGGGCCCCGTGCGCCCCACCCTAACTGTGGCCATCCTGATCCCAAGGGCCGTCTTCCCACTGACTTCAATCAGCGGGCTTTGGGTCCCGCCCAGGTAACATCCCCCTGGCCCCAGTATAGCTTTACACCCTCCTTGCTAGGAGCTGGCTTCTTCCTGGTCCAGCCTCACCCCTGGTCCTAGCCTAGAAGCACTGGGCAGCGAGGCTGGTGCTTCTAGGGGCACCGGGCAAACGGGAGGGCTGGGGCGCTGTGTACCATTCAGGGGGGCCACTGCACTCCTGCCTCTCCACCCGCGGGGGTGTATTCTGCACCCAGGGTTTGCCACTGGGGAACACACGGGTTTAAAATCACATCTACCCTGGCAAATCAGTTGTGAAGGGGCCTATTTCGAGGGGGCCTTTGGAGCGGGGGCTTTCAGGTGCAGCCAGGCAAACAGGGTTTTGGGACACACCAGTCCTGCCAACACTGGGCCGTGAAGTCAAAGGAACTACGCCAGTGGGTAAGCGGTTGCCCACCACACCCACACAAAGGGGATCAAAGCTAGGGAGTGAAATCCTCTCCCCACTGATGTTAATGGCTGGGATTTCCCATCCTGATTCCTCTGCCCCCTTTATAGTCCTCAGGAGGGCAAAAGGGGGCTGGAAATTTAGCACCACTGCCGGGGTGTTAGCGGTGGTCAGGATGAGTGGGGCGAACCCCCTGTACGTATACTTGCTGCAGTGAACAAATGCAATGGAGCGAGTGCAGATAAAGGCCCAGTAGCTCTAACTAAAAGGATGCGGGTAACTTGTTGTCACTACCAGCCTTCTGGAACTGATCACTTTTGGGGCATTGCTCTTGGGCGAGGCGGATGCACAGAGGCACATGGGCTGATAAACCAGCGGAAGGCGCTGGGTGCCGTTGACAGCTGACCAGGGCAGCAGCGACGGAGGAGGGTTAATTGTTTAGCTCCCTGCAAGCTGAAATGGGTGGGTGGACCGAGTCTCTGTCCTTTGGCACCCCCGCTGACAGTCTCAGCAGAGATACCAAGGACTGAGTGGACAGGGACATTGACCTACCCGCTCAGCTCTGCAGTCCATGCTGAGTCTTTTCTGGGGGAGCAATCTAGCACCTTTCCACCAGCACTAAACACTTTTTAAGAGCAGACAAAGAAGGGGGAAAAAGAGTGACATGGGCACCACGAGGTGCCCGGATAGATGCTCCTCTTAAACTGTGGGTATGCTCTCACAGTGACCTTAAAAATGACACCTCCTTGCTCCATTTGCTCTCTAAGCTCCGTGTCTCGCCTGTTTGAATCGACTAAGAAACCCCCCCGGTGACTCATAAAACAAGGGGCAAGTAAGGAGGTGAACCCCTTGCAGATTACACCGTGTCATGGTTATTACGACACAGACTGTAAGACAGTGGCTTGCTTTCACTACAGAGACAGTTATTAGAAACAACCGCATGTTACAGCAACTCTTGCAAGCTGCACTTTTTCTCGGGCGCTGTCAACAAAGCTGACAGCAAAAGCTTTCATTCCAGAGTCACACTGTTGCGTATAGCGTATGAAGTATAAACAAGGCAACCTGACTTACGATTAGGGAGATTTTGTGCTAAGCCCCAGAAAGATCCTATTTTGATGAGTACACTGAGAAGTTTAGTACAAAGTTACTGTCCATCAACCAGCAAGGAACACCAATGTTTGTGTATTTCAGAGTCACTTTTCCACCCGTACCCAGAGTTTAAAGGAGACTCGAGTCTGTTCAGGCACGTGCCCAATGTATTAACATTGTGAAAAATCTGAAACCTTCAATCAAGCATCATTCACCTTCCACAAATCACTCAAATCTTACCACGTTCTCCTCACATGCACCCGATTTCTTACGCGAGGGAGGTTTTCATGTCCTTTGTTCTCTAAAACATTATCCATTTTATTGATCCGTGTCTCTAGCACGGGCTAACATTCTGAACTTCATATTAACATGTAGCATTTCACAGAAGAAAGTTGGCTGTGCTAACTTAAGAACTACTCCTGCAAACAGTTATGAAATGGGCCACTCTCCTTACCGCTTCAAAAGTTATTTTTCCTCCCTTGGTATCCTGCTGTTAATTGATTTGTCTCATTAGACTGACCTCACACTTGGTAAGGCAACTCACATCTTTTCATGTATTTATACCTGCTCCTGTATTTTCCACTCCATGCATCTGATGAAGTGGGTTCTAGCCCACGAAAGCTTATGCCTAAATACATTTGTTAGTCTCTAAGGTGCCACAAGGACTCCTCGTTAGTTATGCATTAGGTTACTCGTGTGAGTGCTCCCATATACTGCAATGGGGTTTAGGGTCACTCATGTTTTGGCTGTCCCTAAACCCCTGACTGCCAGAAGCTGGGATTAGACGACAGGGGATGGATCACTCGAGAAGTTGCCCTGTTCTGTTCATTCCTTCTGAAGCATCTGGCACAGGCCACTGTTGGAAGACTGGCAGGAGCGGCGCCAGGGTTTTTGGCACCCTAGGCGGGGGTCCTTCCGCGCTCCCAGTCGTCGTCGGCAATTCTGCGGTGGGGGGGTCCTTCCGTGCTCCCAGTCTTCGGGGCACTTCGGCAGCGGGTCCTGGAGCGAGTGAAGGACCCGCCGCAGAATTGCCGCCGAAGACCTGGAGCGTGGAAGGACCCCCCGCCGCTGAATTGCCACCAAGGGCGGCAAAATGCCGCCCCCCAAATCCTGGCGCCCTAGGATGCGCCGGCCCTGAAGACTGGATACTGTGCTAGATGGACCATTGGTCTGACCCAGTACGGCTTTTCTTCTGGCATTATTCATATGAGTAGGGTTACTACTCAGGACCATATGGATTTAAATGATCAAGCCCTTATTTTCTATCCACAGCTTCACTTGTGTAAATGTGAAAGTACTCTGAAAACTGGCTTAATTCAGTAACCTATCTCATCCAGATCCATCACGTATCTTAACACTGTTGTATATATGAAAGTATGGTTTGGAGGGAAAAAAGCCATTAAATCAAAATGCAATTACTTTAGTGGTGCCCATTAGTGCAGTTAAGGACATCTTAATATTCAAAATTTCTTTGTCAGTGATTTACAGCTACAAAATCAAAACTAATCAAATGTGAGATCTTAACCACAAGAAGAGACTTAGGGGCTGAATTTGGAGGAAAAGATGCCAAAGAAACAAATCACATACACAATTTTAGAAGCTTTTATGTGGGTGGAAATACAATCTGGTAGATTTTATACCTTTAGTGTGCTTCACCCACCTCCCACGCCAGTCACCCCTCTTTAGCTCAGAGAGGTTTCTTTTTTTTTTAAAGCATAATTTTGCAGGTAATCATTAGCCCTTTTGTTTCACGCTACAGGTTTTGAAGGAAACCATTATTTTAAAAACAAAAGGAGCATTGTGCTTGAGAGAATGGATTGTTACCTATCATGCATAACAATTTTTTTGACCAGCCAAAAAGTTAATATATTTTTGGGGAGAGGGGATGTGATGCCACTTTGCATGAGCTGTGATCCAGTTTAGTCAGTCAATCAGATTTCACTACATACGGCAGACTAAAGTTTAGGATGTGCAGAGACGCATCTTTTAGCACCCAAACTACATTCTGGAACCTGGCTATATCACATATGCCATGTACTCCTGTGCAAGTTCAGACAGAGTATCGGAACTGATTTCATCTTATAATCCACAAACAGCTGGGGCAACGTAAATAGGCATCCAAAAGCATATACCCCATTGACAAAGCTGTTAATCAGCCAAGGATACCAGCTTTTATATTTCACATTCAGAAGTGAATACGCTGCACCTCCACTACACAGCGGATACAGAAAATAGGACACATATTTCATAGCCTGGGTATCGTATTCCTCAGTTCTCTTTTCAGATTCATTGTATGCCCCAGATGTTTTTACCTATAAAATTGAAATGGACACAACACAAAACAAAGAATGTTAAAGGTTTGCTAAGACCACAAAAGGGAGAAAACGCCCAGTTGAGGATCTTCCAAAGCCTATGCAGAATGCCCTATCTCCTTATCAACGGGTCTGGGTGTTGTTAGACCCTAATTGTAAACATCATTGCTTTTGTGGTCTTGTGTTAGCCTGTTAATGGGAAACCCTTTCAGTGGGGTTTTTAATAGATACATTTATAGTGGTTCTCCAAGACAATTAACAGTGGTTAAGTGCTGTATTTGTATATGGACTTCCTATCCTATCCTTTTTTAGAAAAGGAGACAAATATACAATGTGATGTTGCACGGATACCCACTGGTAATGTTCCAGCTGAATAATACAGGTGGGATAAGGATCTTGTAAGAGAGTTCAGGAGTTTTGTTTTTAAAATACCGGTGCATTGTAAAGGGGAAAAAACATTCTTCTCCAAAGTATTGTTATGACCCCAGGATCCAAGTTGTCAGAGAAGTTTTAGCAGTCTCTGGGCAAAGAAGAGAAAGCCCCTGAGCTGCACAAAAGTACCATAACCTCTCCTTCAATATGAACAGTGACTAAAGAAATAGAGCATGAATCTGAATCTAGTGAAAGTAAAAAGTGGGCATTGTCTGTTTCACGTAAATAGTGATTATTAAATTTACAAGGGAAAGTCAACACCGCACACCAAAACTAAGCCAAAGAAGCACTTTGGGGAGCGCATACGCTCTCATGTGTTTACATGTGTTTTAATTTTTTTCACCCACTTTCCATTATTATTATTTATTTGTTTTGTGGTCGTTCCTAGGAGCTCTAGTCATGGGCCAGGGCCCACAAATATGCTAGGTGCTGCACAAACACAGAAAAAGACAAATCTCTGCCCAAAGAATTTACAGTCTAAGTACTTAGAATCATAGAACCACAGGGTTAGAAGGGGTTTTTTAGAATCTAATCCTCTTCTGTGTATCCCTTCTACACTACACTTCTGCATCTCAGCAGGAAATCACATACCTGCAAAGTAAAACAAAATGACACCAGACTTTAAAGATATTTAGGCACCCATCTGTACCATTAGGCACCTAATTCTCAGGCCTGGTCTACACTAACACCCCAATTCGATCTAAGGTACGCAACTTCAGCTACGTGAATAACGTAGCTGAAGTCGACATACCTTAGTTC